TCTCTGTACCAAGGTTTATATTTATAAGGGGCGAGGTAAGAGCTGGTTCTGGCTTTATTCTGGGCTCTGAGAGACTGGTTAGCAGATACCAGGTCTGGAGTGAGGAAATTAACTACCACAGCTGGGACCCAGTCACTAGATGCTGCAGGCTAGGGCATAGGCCAGGAAAAACTGGTACACCGGTGATTGCCAGACTAGCCTTAAGTGGAACCCTGAGGGAAAAGGGGCAGGACTGCTGAGTCTCTAGGGTGTGGGATAAATGGCTCTCTCTTCTGCTGAAGGAAGAGGAGAAAGGAAGGGCTCAGTGGTTTTGCCCCTGGCACAGGCATGGAAGGCCCAAGGAGCAGTGAGATCTTTTCCATCGCTGCCTGCTATCCTGTGCCTGTTGTGCTGAGTTAAACTGGGCAGACCCCTGTGGACTGGCTTCCAGACACAGCCTACTGCTTCTACCTAGGCAAGCAGTCTGGCTGTTCCTGTTGCCTACACATTACTGAGTGGTGATGGGGTGGAAGAGGAGCCCCCATGGTTTCCCTTCCTCCTCAGCTGTAGTGCTGTGTGCAATGGAAGCCAGAACTCAAAAATCAGATTGACTGAATTCAAGCTCTGAGGATCTTGGGCTCCATGCTTATGGACACATCACTTCCATTTCTGAGCCTCAGATTTGTGTGTTGAAGAGAGGGTAGTTATAGAAGACATGTTCTCAGTTGTGAGACCCTAGAGACATGTGCCACCTGGCACATGGAAAGCACCCCAGAGATGGTAGACAGTGGCGGCATTAACCAGGGAAAAATACGGCCAGGAAGGCCCCAGCAGTGAGGATCTTCCTCCTCCTTTTGTTCAGAGAGACCCTTGAGAATCCAGTGCACCTCTGAAGAGCAGGCTGAGGCCCTCAGATACACAGCTTGGTGTCATTTTTAGTGGCTCGGCTAGGTCAGGAGATGGCAGGGGTCAGTGGGGAGGGCTGGGGACTAGGACCCCATCAGATAAGTTGTGATACAGCATCTGTCCAATTGGCACTCGTGGAGGGGATGGGGACCAGCAACAGTTGGAGAATAGTCAAAACACCTTTACAAATGGACACCCAGTCTGTGGCCCCTTCTTCGCTGAGAACCTGGGAATTTCCTCACACAGCATCATCCCCAGCAGCAGTGTTCATTCCACCAAAGCTGGAGCATAGGCTAGGGGTGGGCTCCAACCTGGGCTGGCTGATTGACTCCTCTGTCTGGAGTTACCCCTGGAATGGAGAGGGGCTGGTGCTCCAACTGGGAGGACATGTGAGCTGAGGAGTGTCACCTGAAGCTGTGATGGAGTCAAGCAGTAAGAACAGACCAAGGATGGGGGCCCGATGAGAAACATAGAAGGAAACCCCACAGAAAGAGGGAGAAGAGGCAGAGATGGTTGCTCCTTGCTTCTTGAAGGCTTTCCAGGCAGTTTTTGGTTCCTGGCCCTCATGAGGCCCAGCTGTGTCCCATGGACTAGAGGAGATACCTCATGTCCTTATGTAAGCAGCTTATTAAATAAACTGGACTCAGCCAGGTGTAAGCAGAAACCAACTCCATTTCCCCCAGTGTACCTTTCAAGCCTGTTCTCTGAATTTTTTTTCCCTTGTTTTTTCTTTCCCAGATGAAGTTGAAAACTTAGCAGGCTCCTTGGTCTGACACATGATGAAGCCCAGGCCCTTCTAACAGCACCCTCATTCCAGACGGTCCTATGGAGTGACCATGTCTAGACTCCTAAAGCCAGACATTGTAGCTGACCTGGAGCTGGGCAGGACATGAAGTCAGTTTCTTTGCTGGGTTTCACCTGTCTCACTGCCTCTTTCACTGGTCCACGTCGTTCTCTGGCTCTTGGGTGGGATTGAGGAAGGTGCCGGTCTTCTGTGGTGGCCCAGTCCTTCTCTAGAGCTGGTGCCAGATGTGCAAACTCAGCTTGGTTCCTTTCTTTGTCTTGCATCCTTTTCACTTGGGGTACCTCCAACACTTCTCCTTGGTGACAGAATGTTGCTTTTCCACTTGACCTTGGTCCCTGCCTTGCTGCCTGGGCCCCTGCCCATCAGGCTGCACTTTGGCCCTGTGTGCTTCCACTGTCTCCTCTTTCTCCCTGCATTGGTGCCTGGGGCCTCAGATTCAGGGCCCCATCAAAGTGCTCATGTGTGCCACACCCTGGGAGTGGTCCTTTGACATCCCTGTCCCCTGGTTTGGGGTGAGGAGGCAGCTCCCCTCCCTGCAGCAGTAGAAGACACATCCTCTCCCGGGGGTCTTTTCCCTGCACTATTTACATAGATCCCAGGTGGGCATCGGCTAATGCTGTAGGAGCCATTTGAGTCACCTCGTTGCAGGATGGTTTTGCGTTGTGCTCCGTACCAGGTGATCCTGGGTAGCTGTTATTTTCTCTTTAGAGTTTTGGGAGAAACCGATGCAGAATGGGTGCCCTTTTTACATCTGTTGCACATAAATGTGCACTTTGTTTAATCTCATTGACAGGATTCTTCCTATAACAAGAGCCTTAGCAAGACTGGAACAGCTGAGGTGGCCTGGGAGGTCAGAGAGGACCCGAAGCCTGGTCGACTCACATCACTATTGTGTTCAGAAGCATGGAGACTCTGTTTTCCATCTGCGACAACCTTTGGGGAGCGGGGAGGGACTGTTCAGTGCCAGGTGGCATCGCTGTTCAAAGTACTGGCTAAGACTGACGTGGGGGCTGACTAGGCAACAGAAAAATGGACTTTAACTTTCTCATCTATGTCCAAAGATGAACCCATCATGGAAAAATAGCTCAATATTATTAGGACTTCTGTGATTGTGGGTCTGCAAAAGTCCCTGGCTGAAGGAGCTGCTCTCTGCTAGTCAGAGCCCAGGTTGCTGCCACCTGACTCTCTCTCCCTCCCATCTCCTTGTTCTTATTTCATGATGCTGCCAGGTAACTGACCTCCCTCCCATTTTTCCTCAGAAAAACAGGCTGCTCATCACTAGAGGCCTCATTCCTTCTTGTCTTTGAGCATGTGGTTTGGGTAAGACTTGGGTTTGGGATCTGGGGAGTTGGCTCAGTGGGTAAGAGCACTTGCTTTGAAAGCAGGAGAACCCGAGTTCAAATCTCCATTACCCACATTACAAGCTGAGCATGGCCACACATGCCTGTAACCCCAGTGCTGGGGGTTGGAGACAAACAGATCCCAGGAGCTCACTGGCCAGCCAATCTAATATAATGGTGAACTTCAGGTCTAGTGACAGACCTTGTCTCTAGAGAATAAAGTGGAGAGTAACAGAGGAAGACACTTGACATCCTCCTCTGACCACTGCATACATGTGTAGGGATGTGCACACCCTTACACATACATGTGCATATACCACAAATACACATGCAGAGGGGGGTGACTGGAGAAAACAGCTGGTGTCATGGCCTGTTTTATTTGAATCCAAAGTGCTTCAGGAAAAGGCCTGCTTTACACTGTTCAGCTTGGTTTTCCAGAACCCTCCATTTCAGGATTTTCACCCAAGACCAGTGATTAGGAACGACACACTTTGTTTTCCTTTGCCTGTTCCTTCCACCCACCACCCCACTCCAGACGTGTGGCTTGTCCTGCACCAAGATTGGGACACTTGAGCAGTGTCCAGCTTCCACTGTAACCTCAACAACTAACTGGGAGGTGGGAGCAGGTTAAGAACTCATGATCAGTGCCCATCACCAGTACCTTCTGGATAATTTCTGTTGGGGTATTCTTGCTTTCAGTCCTCATCACCTGTAAAATGGGAACAATAATTCCCCCCACCCTCAGTGCTGTATGAAAAAAACTCAGTCCACTTCTGAACCCATTTTATGATTCAAGAAACACCAGTCTCCTGACTCCAATTTAGCTAGCAAAAGCTTTCCTGTGGTTGAGGTGCAGGATGGTTAAGGTGGAACCAAGGGTGTCAGCACATTCTACCTTAAATCTTGAGTCAGTTTCTAAATATTTGTTTACATAGCACAAGAGTAGGTGTTTCTCCAAGCCTTGTCAGCATGTGTGTTTTTCATCTTGCTGATGGGACAGCAGCATGCGATGCCTCACCCTTCATTTAGGGTACCTCCCTCGGTCTTGCTAGGGTGGCATCTGTTCTTATTAATTGGCAGCTTGTGATGTCTGTGGCAGTCATGTGTACTTTACCACCATTTCTGTCACAGTTCTTGTATCTTTCTGAATATGTGGAGTTTCAGTATGGCAGGAATATTAATCCTATTTTTGCAATTAACAAATAGCAGTGTAGTGCTGTTTCTCTTGTGCACTAACAGCTTCTCAGTATTTGTCATTTTGGAGTTTTTTTTTGGAAGCAGTTCTTGTATCTTTCTGAATATGTGGAGTTTCAGTATGGCAGGAATATTAATCCTATTTTTGCAATTAACAAATAGCAGTGTAGTGCTGTTTCTCTTGTGCACTAACAGCTTCTCAGTATTTGTCATTTTGGAGTTTTTTTTGGAAGGTAGAAAAAAAATTAAGTCCTATTCCTCTGTTTCTTCCTTTTTGGTTTTGAGGCTTCCCAGCATGCCTAGAATCACCCTCTCTAGTCACAGATCCGTTTTTCAAGGAGACAGCTCTAGCAAGCAGCATGGGGTTAGAATGAGAGGTGGAGCCTCTGGTTAGGAACCTGTTGCAGCATTGTAGGGAGAGGAGACCAGGCCTGCACTGAGTCAGAGAGCAGGCTTGGCCTGGAAGAGTGGTCTGGCCATGGGGATGGGGCGGACCTTGCCAGGGGAAAGGAGGAGGGGAGCAGCCAGAGGAGTCTTTGGTGTTAACTGACCTGCCTAATAGGAGCTTCTAGGACACCCAGGACTCTGGTGGGAACAGAAACTTTGCTCTAGGGAGCTGTGCTGCCCAGAGGTCCTACGGCTTAGGACTCCTGGCGGGGCAGGAGTGGGTCATGTAGGAGGATCTCAGCGGCCTCTCATGTGCTACATGCTGCAGCTCCTGCTTTACCCACAGAGGCCCCAGGAAGGCATTCTGAAACGGCAGCGCACACTGCAGATACATCCATGCAGCACCGATGGCTTTTTATTGCAGATTTGTGTCATTACAAGGATAACCTGGGAATATATTAAAGAACAACCTTCCCTTTTATGTACACAGAACATGCTACATGGTACACTGTGAGGAAACGCTGAGGTAATAGGCACGCACCCAGACGTGGACAGTACCGAATGCTCCACACCTCTAACACCTGGCACATGTGCCCACCAGGAGGGTCTCACCTTCCGGAATCATCTGCTGCCCCTGGCTTGGCGGTCATTAGATAGCTCCGAGCCCAGCAGAACTCAGGAAGCCACCATGCTGCAGTGGCACCAGTGGCCCCTGAGGCCATAGCAACTCATAGAAAGTGGCCAGTTTTCCCTTGTGTGGCCCCATCCTCTGGGGAAGTATAGCTTGGGGGAGATGCAGCCTGGTCGTGTGAGTTCAGGACCTCAGCTCTGCGGTCATCTGGAGGCCAGGACACAGTGGCAGTGACTGCTCTTCAGTGGAGTGTCCCTGGCAAGGCAAACTACTGTTTGTATGGAGCTTAAAATGCTGTGGAGGCTAAAGGATGAATGGAAGGTACAAAACTGTGAGTGTAGGTCTATGTGGCTGCCAGTGTGCCTTTTGGCCTGGCCTTCCCTTTCCCGGCCAGAACCTGAGCCCAGACTGCTCCTCCTCAGAGTCCAAGGATTCTTGCCTAGAAGGAAAGGCCCGTGTGGCAGAGCAGGAGAGGCCAGGGGAAAAGGAAGGGGCAGAGGAGCTTGACCTATACAGTGAGCAGCCTAGGACTGAGGCCCAGAAGGTACAGGCTGAGGGGAATAACCAGGTGGAGGAGTGGTGAGCAGTCCTGAGGAAGGGGAACTAGAGCAGTGGAATTGGGGGGGCGTCTGAAGTTTGACCAGGTCCCCAAAGAGTTCTGAAGAGATAGCCAGGAAGCCCCATGCGAAAGATGAGCCTGCAGACATTCCTGGAGGAATCCAGGCACGTCATTGCCAAGGACTGTCCTTTGACATTGGGCTACAAAGCTTGTGTCTGTCCTTAGACTCAAGTAACACAGCAATGAGGAAAGGAAAGGCCTTCCTCCTAAGAACAAAGCCATGGAGATGCCTTCAGCATGTGAACCGATAGAGAAGAGTTACATGTATATGGCAAACCCATATCTATATCTAGACATCCCACGTGTGTGTCGAAGAGCATGCACACGTGGTGGCTCATACGCATGTCTGTCATGAGGGGGTTGGTGGTTGTGTTTTTATTGAAGGGACTTAACTGATTTAGAGTTGTCTGAAGTCCTGTCCTGACCTGGGAACTTGAGGGACTGTCTGATAGGGAAGAAAGTAGGAGAGACAGAGAACACTGTTCAGTTCCATTATCTGGCACAATGACTGGAAAGCAGAGTCCAGCATCCCGTCCTCCCAACCGAAGATGAACCGGCAAGGAGTTGTGCTGAGGTGTCTGCACAGATGGGATGGCTTCTGGCAACGGCCATGAGTGGCCACGAGGGGAGTGGGCTTAGTGGAAGGTGTTGGGGTTGGGCCGAATCATCATCACCACTTTCTTGAGTGAGTAGGAGCCTCCTCGGAACTCGGCCCAGTACACGCCATCCTGGTAGCGGCTCCGGTAGTGGCCCCCACGGTACCAGACCCCGTTGAGGTTGGAGTGGGCACAGGCGTTATACCACCAGCCTCCCTTCTGGTAGTGGGCGCAGTTTCCTGTAGGAGAGAAGGGAGTGAGGAGTGTCTGGGAGGAGGTGATTTTGCCCCATCCATGGTGTGCTCAGGGTCTTCTGCAGGAACCCTAGCAGGAGGCTTCCAGAGCAGGAACACTTGAGAGGTGGACCCTGCCCAGTGGAGGTCAAAAGCCAGGCTATAGACCCACTCGGGCTGGCCTTTGAGGGTCAGCTTTATGAGGAGCTAGTGGTGGGACTGCAGACAGGTGGTCATCTCTCCCAACCACTTTGTTCTCCACTATAAGAGGAGAAGCTAAGCAACACACCTCAACAGTTAAGTGAGGGCTGGTTAACTCTCAGCCTGAGCTCTATGCAGAGGTGGCTCTGGAGGAAATGGAAGTGGCCTGCAGTGGGCAGGGGAAAGGGAAAAGGGGGGAATTTTGAAGAGTTAGGTCCAGAGTCTTTACAGAGTGACAGAGGAAGTGTTTAAGATGGATGCCCCTCTTTTCTTCCCCAGACTGAAGTCCATCCAGGTAACTTTTTGTGTTATTTCATAAAAGAGGGATATTTCCATGAAACTCTTGGCATTGTCACATCATGCTACATTTTGCTGCCAAGGACACACATTTCAGAACAATGAGACTATGGGCAAGGTATGAGCAGGCGTGTAGGGGCATGGCACCCCATGGGGGAGGTGGAAGAATAGGCGGAGCCCAGGCACTGGGCTTAGTTGGGCACTCAGCCTAAGAGGGGACCCATTCTTCAGGGACAGGCTGTTTTGGAGTTGGCAGGTCTGATGGAGCTATGATCCTGCTCTAGTCCATCTCCTGGGAGGGATGAGGAGGTCACAGGCAGCCTGAGGTGGAAGCTGGGAATAGCCTCAGTCCCAGGTTTTCCAGGGTCTTTCCTGGGGCTTCCTCTGTGCTGTGTTTTGGCACCATAAGAGCCAAATGTCAATGCTGCATTTGGTGAGCTGGGGTGGGGGTGGGGGCGCTTGGTACTCCCTCTTGCCCTGACTCTGCATACCCCTGTACTCCATTGATAGCCTGGGGTCGAGGACCATCCTTTTCCCTGCTCTTCATGGTAGCTCTCAAGTATTTTCTGTAGCCTCATGTCCAAGGGTCAGACCAGGATGATCAGGACTTCTGCCTTCCTCTTTTGGAAGCTTCTATAGCTTCTATAACTCTGGCCCACAGGACTCACTACTTCAGAGCAAGGGCTGCTTCTATGGAAGCTTTCCAGCATGGTTAGTTCAGTGCCAGAGTTGGAGAAGTATCTCTGTGGGATGTGGACAGGCAGGTCATGTTCCCTCTGGGCCTTGAAGTTGGGAGAACTGTCCACTAGCGTGTGGCTGCCTTAGGGATCTAGAATGAGTCTCCCTGACTTAGTATGTAGATATCAAGGCTTGTTTGAATCACATGCTATTTCTGACACAGCCTCCAGGGTTCATTCCTCAAAAGGGCCAGTGGTTGCTTCAGACCAGGACTAAATGGGAGGCTAGGCAAGAGAGGCTAGGCCTGACTCTCCTGGGCAAGCAGACATAGACTTGGCTGAAGGTCAAGACCCAAAGGGCCCTGGGTCTTGCTGATCAGCCAAGCTGCAGGGCCTCTGGACCTCATGGGAAGTTACTAGGTCTGAGGTTTCAGAGCCATCAGCTGGGGCAGGGGGTATAGGTCCCTGATGTCTGTACTTAGTGCCAGACTGTACCTGTGCATGTTGGATTTTTCTGTCTTTTCCCTATTTTTTATTTATGAAGACCTGAATTGGAGGCATGTGATCGTGGAAAAATTACTTCATCTCTGCCATCCAGATTCCTCTTAGTAGCTTTCTTACAGAAGCTGCATTAACATTACAGGCTAATGACAGTAGACGGCAAGAGAGCTACCAAGTGGAAGCCTTACCACGTGCTGCTTCCCAGCCAGGGCACCCAAAGCAGGTGCTCTGCACCTTTCCCTACCCAGCTAGGTAGGCACTGTCTCACTTCCAGATGTTGAAGCTGAGGCCCAGGGAGACTATGCAGCATGCTGAAGATGCATGACTGAGGTGGTGGGGCCAGCATTGGAATGCAGGGTATGTAGCCCAGAGCCTGTGGATATGTGTGCCTTAGAGTTGAGAAGGGCACAGCCCAAAGCATGAGTGCCTTGGCCAGGACAGCCTTCACCAGTAAGATCTGTATGCATCTGCCCCCCCCTTTTGTTTATTTATTTATTTATTTATTTATTTATTTATTTATTTTTTGGTATTTTTGAGACAGCATCTCCCTGTAGCCCCAGCTCACCTGGATCGCACTACGTAGACCAGGCTGGCCTCGAACTCACAGAGATCCCCCTACCTCTGCCTCCCGAGTGCTGGGACTAAAGGCATGCGCCACTGCGCCCGGCTGCCTCCCTTTTTTGTAAGTACCACTGTAGCTCAGCTTTGCAGAGGGAATTGGAGGGCATGAGCAGAAGAAGGGGCCTTTGAGAAGTAGGAGTAGGGTCGGGCCGTTTGGTACAGCGGTCTGTCACCCTGAGATCTTCCTGCTCCCAAGCCCTGGAGTCAGGGGCTCTAGTGTTGGTTGATCTCTCTTCTTGCTCAGCACCCAAGTTTGACTCTACTTCTCCTACCTGTGTAGACATCATGATCTCTGTCCAGGGTGGTGAACTGCTTGCCATTGTGCCAGGTGAAGGAGTCGCCTGCATTGCCATGGTAGCGCCCCAGCCGCAGCTTGTAATATTCGCTCTCTGGCTCCAGGCGGAAGCTGGCATATTCTGCAAAGACCTTGCGACCAGACCAGTCCTCCATGGTCACAAGCAATTTGTAGTTGCCTTGGTTTGTCAGCCAGTAGATGTTCTCCAGGCCCAGCCAGTACTCGCCATCGATATTCCCAAACCCTTGCTGGGAAAGACCCAGGAGAGCATGAGTACAAGGCAGGTCTGAGCTCCACCCCCTGCTACCCTGTGTATTGGCTCTGTGACTGGGTGAGCCACTACAGCTTCTTAACCTTAAGTCATGCACCACTCACACGTCTGAAGAGCACACTTTCTCTGGCTTAAGCATCACGTGGATGCTGTGTCTCCTCAAAGGCAGGGTGGCTGTGGAGCAGGTGTAATATGGTCATGAGAGCCTTGTACCCAAAAGGCATACATCCAGCCATACTTGGACCAGAGCCCTTGCCCCACCCCCAAGCCTCAGTTTCCTTCTCTCGAGATGGGCTGTGTGTGAGGGTTATGTATAAGCTCTAGCATACCACTAGGTGTGAGCTGTGACTGATAAGTCACGTCCACCTGGGCGCTCTCATAGGTTTGAAACCTGTGGGTTTCGTTATGTCTGGTTTGATGTGTAGTTTCAGAGATCAGCTGAGCAGTGGCCACCAAAGTCTTGTAACAGATGGATTCATTAATAACAGTATGTCCCGTGTTAAGTGAATGCTCGTAGTGCACCAGCTGGTGATGAGAACTTAGCCCAGGTATCCTTGCTGATCCTCCTAGTGATTCTCAGAGCTAAGCACTATTATCAGCCTCCCTAAGTGGGTGAGCCTTCGCCATGCTGTAGCCCCCTTCCGCCCCATGAGAGAGAATGGAGAATGAGGAGGACCTCTGTGTTAGGTGGAGGGAGAAGCAAGGGACACCCAGGCTGCTCGGGGTGATCAGGGGAACCAGGGTGGGGAGACTCAAGGAGACAACATTGTGGGGCATTGTGGCTGATGGGAGTCGTGGCTTTGGTAGTGAGGTCTCAGCTACAGGTGCTGCTTTGCCATGTTGTAGCTGTGGCCCATGTTTTCACCTGTAAGGCGCACCTACAGGCAGTACCCTCCTGAAAGACTCTGTGAGGTTAGAGGTCACATAGAGAATCCTGCTGTACCAGTGCCTGGCACAGGATGGGTATCCAGTGAACTGAACTGCCGGTGCCATCCTTAGTGCCTTCTCTTTATTCAGAGGAGGGTAGGAGGTGAGGTAGAGCCCTTGCAGCCTTACCAAAAGGAAGAGCATTCAGTGCCCTGGGAACTGGGCAGACCAGAAGATGGCCCTACAGTTAGGGCCTGAGCATTGCCAGAATTACCTATACAAGCCTCTTAGGGGAGTCTCCTAGGACCTGGGAGCTTCCGGGCCTTGAAAACAGGTCCTCCCTGTGGGAACCCCAGCTAAGGGTGAGATGCTTTCTCTGCCTCATCCTGAGTGGCAGGCAGGGAGGAGCCTGTGCTTACCATCCTGGTGGCTTTGTAGACATGACCCTGTGCTTGTCCTTCTCACCTGGGTGGGCCAGTCACCTTGCAGGCAATGCACACAGGCCCATCAATCTCACCTTATATGTTTCCCAATTCCTAAAGAAGTTGACGGAGCCATCCAAGCGCCTCTGGATGACAGTCCAGCCCCCAGGGTCATGTCTTTGGTCACACCACACCTGCATGAGGCGGTTAGTATTCTCTGGCTTCACCAGGTAGATGGAGCTGGTGTCATGGCCATCCTCCAGGGCCTGCAGGCAGTCTCTCCATGGGCCTACAGACACAAATGTGGACATGTCATAACTGGCTGTCACCAGACCATGTCTCCAGCTGCTGCCCAAGCAGGCATAACCTCCAATGGAGTCACAGGATACACTTTGAAGGGATAGACCTTTGTGAGTTTGAGAAGTAATGTGATATGAAAGCCAAGCACCGGCCAAGAGTCAGGATGGTGGACTCCTAGCCTCACTTGTAGCCCTCAATGTCTCCTGTTTGTAGATGGGAGTCATATTTACCTCCTCCAGAACTGTTAGGGTTACAGAGGTCACTTGGGGAGATATTCTTAGAGTAGTTTTTGAAGAAGTTATTCCTATTGGTGGGATGAGATGTGTGCCTACTAAGTGTAGCCACATTCACGAACTCTGTATGGGCTTGGCACTGTGCTCCCTCCACCAGTGAAGCTGGGTTACCTGACCACTCTTAGCCTGGCCCCACATCTGCCTTTCCAATGACAGTGCTCGGTGACTGCCATCACTAACGCACTTCTTTGGGCCACAGGGCCCAGGCCAGGGAGTTTGGCCATATAACCAGAGACTGGGGTGTTTCTGGGAATCATTTGCTGGTCTCTGTGTATCTTTTTGAACCATGCACTCTCCCTTCCAAATCAGTGCATGTTTCTGAAGCAGGCTCATGTAGTCAGTGCTCAGAACCCACACATCCCTAGGTGGCTGTTCATATAGATCCTGAGCCTAAAGGATGATGCACATCCCAGGCCATAGCTCTCCTCTGCAGCTGATACCAGAAGGGTTGCTGTAGGAGACTGAATAGCTGCTCTGGGTCTTTCAGTCCCTCTCCATGCCCGAGTCTTCCCTAATGGTTTCCTGTGTTCAACACTGAGCACACAGCAAGGAAGTACAGGCTTGGGTCACCAAGTCCAGTCAAGCTGGGGTCTTCCTCAGTGATCAGAGGAAACTTCTGGAGGTTTTCAAGTCCTAGCCATTCAACTACATAGTTTAAAATAAATAAAATCACCACACCTTGAATCATGTGTTTCAAAATATCCTCTGGACTGAGAATGGTTAAGATCAGAGGCGCTAGAGATATTCTGATTTGCTGTACTAATTTGTTCATTCCACAACTATTAATTGAATCGTTGGATGTGGCGGCTCACACCTGTAATCCCAGCATTCAGGAGGTGGAGACAGGAGGATCAGAAGTTCAAGGTCAGCCTCTGCCACACAGCAAGTTCTAGGCCAGCCTAGGTAAAGAGATCCTGTGGCAAAAACCCAAAGTAAAAACAACAATACCAGCGATTAATGGAGTTCCAGTCTCCTCGGGCACTGCCCTGGGCCGTGGGCACCAGGAGGGGCAGCTGGCATTACTAACTCTCTCGGTTCCAGTGCCTGGGATCCTGTCTTTCTCCCCCGTGTATGAGGAGGTACCCCTCAGAGTGGGACTGCTCGGCTTTTCCTGTGCAGCCCCAGCTTTGCAGCTTCCTTGAGGCTGGCCGTAGGGTTCAGCTCGTCTACTGTGATGGTCAAACAGGCAAGGCTGAACTGGAGTACCTCACCGAGCCCTAGTGCCTGATGAAGCAGGGAGCTGGCTTGCCTATACCTTTGGCATCTCCTGTACCCAGGTCAACTTGATGCTGACAGTTAACAGTGGACTCCTTCCTTCATTCTCTAGGGGGCTTCTCACCCCTTTACCTTTTCCCCAGTTCCCTCCCTGTACATAGGAACCTTCAGGACCCCAAGCACCCACCCTGGGCATTATGTATCCCCCACACAAAGCTCCTTCCCTTCTTCCTACCCTCTTTCCTTCCTCTTCCCTCCATTCCTCCCTCCCTTTCTTCCTCCCTTTTATCCCCTTACGCCACTTCCTGCTTTTGGCCCCCTCAGTATCTATCCTGCGGAAAGGAAGATCAGACCTTCAGGAAAATCTTTCAGAAAGGAGAAAAAGGGGTTGGTTGTCTTTGGCCCGAGCCCCAGGGACTAAGACAGAGAATGGGAGTCTGTCCTTGACAGCTGGAGCTGAGTACCCGCAGGCGTGGGAGACCTCCCAGCTCTCTAACAGGTCAGCAGGGTGGGACGGACTCTTGATGAGAGTGCAGGGACAGAAAATGGAGGGCAAGGGAAACTGCCAAGTATAAAGCCCACCAACAGCCAGCAGCCAGGCCTTGTCTTGCAGAACCACCCGGTCCCTGGGGGATAGGCAGATGGGGAGGCTGTTCTTGAAGGAGTTGCCTTCAGGTGGACTTTAGAGGCCACTGGGAGGGGGACCAGTTGGCCTTGTGGCTCCCAATTGGTGCTGCCTTCCACAATTTCAGCCTATCTCAGTATTCCAGGAAAAAGACTTGCTTATTTATTTATTAAAGATAAGTCATTCAGAATGCTTTGAAACCTTCAGTAGTAAGACCCCTTAAGTAGTAAGAATTTTTAGGAAGGGCTGGGGAGACAATTCAGTGAGTAAAGCGCTGTTTCACAACATGAAGACCTAATTTAGAATCCCCAGCACCTATAAAGCCAGGTGTGGCAGCATGCATCTGTAATCCCAGAGTTTTTGTGTTGATAGGAGGTGGAGACAGGAGAATCCCATAGAACTCAGGGTCTGGGAGGGGACAGACACTAGCCTGGGATATACAGCAACAAACAACAGAGACCCTATCTCAAACAAAATGGATGGTGAGAACTGATACCCAAGGGTATCCTCTCTCTCTCTCTCTCTCTCTCTCTCTCTCTCACACACACACACACACACATACACACACACTAAAAGAGAATTTTTTAAAAAGAAAAATGCAAACTCAAACAATTTTTAAACAGTTGCTCAAAGTATGTGCACCCTTGAGGTCCAGGTTCTAAATACCCAGTTCTAAGGGAGTCCTGTCTGGAGTAGTAATAGCAGTTGGCCAATACAGCCCATACAGATCTTTTCTGATGGTCCTGGTCTGTTGCAAGCCTTGCCTGGGAATTTCCACTGCTGATCTTTCCCTTGCCCCTGAGAGGCAACAGTAGTCTTCCCATTTTACAGATGAGGAAACTAGAGCTGGGGACCTTAGGGGACACCACAAGGCCATATGGCCCATAGGGGCAGGGTAGTCTGTGACCTCAGATATTCTAGGTGGGAGTCCCACCTAGAATTCTGATGTACCCTTGCTTGTCCCCAACCAAAGTGGAGGGTGGAGGCCAGGCTCTTGTCTCTGAGTCCTAAGGACTATCTTTATCAAGCTGTTAAACTCTTTTTTAGCTTTGTCTTTATTGATAATTTGGGTTGGTTTTCTTTCCTAGATTTACTTATTATGACCTTTGCCCATTTTCCGAATATTTTAGCATCTTACATTGTTAAAGTTTTCCTCTGTTTTTGGTTTTTGACAAATCTGGCAGTTTTGCACTGCCTTCTAGAATCATATTGATTTTTGAAATGATGTGGAGTATCAGCATTTTCTGCTCTTAGGAAAGCCTTTCCACACATCCCTGAAGCCTTCACATCTCATGACACTCAGACTGTCAACTTCATCAAGAACTTCATCTCCTTCAAAGCCGCCCACCAAATCTCCCACATTCAAACACATCAGAAACACCAGTGGCAAAGGTTAACAACATAAATGGCAAATGGAAATCAGTCCAAAATACAGTTTGCATTGAAAAATTGGCACCAGCAAATGATCCTGTGACCCTATCACAGTGACCAAGTCCATACACCCTGGTGACAAGAAGCCTTTAATCGCAACAGGAACCATCCTGGCCAGTTGCATATAAACAATGGGATAAATAACACAGTGACAGATCTGTCATTGTTACACACAGGTGCTGCCGTGGACGGCCAGGTGAGGCATCCAGCTTTGGGTAAAGGATGTGTGGCTGAGGCAGAGTGGAATTGAGTGCCCTGGGCTCATGGGTGGCTTCACCTACTCACAGAATGACTTTGGGAGAGTGCCTCACTGAGCCTAGGTTGTTTCTTCTGTCACCAGGGAAAGAACACTAGCTGTCCTGAGGGTCTCAAGCCAGATCTCAGTGCCTTCTCCCTTTCTCTGCTTAAATGAAAGTTGGTACATTGGAAGGCGTTCAGCCCGTCCCTGCTGCACATGCATTGCTGTTTGCTCTTGAGCTTCCAAAACTAAATATGATCATATATATAATTAATATTATATATAATACAAATACACATATATAGTACCTATTAATAGGTATTTTCCACCAAGCATATTTCAAAGTCAGAATTTAAATGAAGTCCTCAAAGCTGTTCCTAAGTAAAGAATGGAAATCTTTTTTTTGTCAAGCAAAGCTGAATTTTCGAAATGCAGTGGGCGAAGCATCCTCTGGCACAGAGCAAGTGCCCGGGCTGTGTTTGCCTTGGCTCCCCTTCTGAGAGGCAGCTCTGCCCGAAGCACCAGGCCAACACTAAGCTGGCGGCACCTAGGCTCACCTCTATAAAGGCCATATTTACACCATAGTCAGAATGTTCCACGTGAAGAGCAGAGCAGCCGCCATGGCTAGTGGAGTCCATGCAGTTCCCTAGAGAGGCAGCGGGTGCAGGAAACACACACAACCAGAGGAGAGAAGGAAGAAGGCTGGCATATGTTGGGACCCTAGGGCCAACCCTGGTAAGGCTTGGAAGTGATCAAGGTTGGGTGTCCCAAGCCCCCTCCTCCCTGGCATTCTTGATGGAGGGCCCATAGGTACAAGGCCACCAGCAAAGTCAGGGGCTACTCTGTGACTGAATTGTTCACTACCTCCAGACAGAGCTTTCTGGTAAAGGGGTTTGGGGACCAGCAGCCAGGCCTGGCCCCAGTATATCATCCTTTCTGTTTCCTGTCTGTATCCTCAGACAGACCAGCTTCAGCTGAATTTCCCTAGGCCCCACAGCTGAAGCAGGCTCACAAACCGCAGGGCCTTTTGTGTGGCCCTGACTAAGCAAACTGCAGCAACCTATGCCTCTGCACTTGAGGAACAGTTGAAGAGCAGAGGCTTTCCCAAACTGCTCAGTAGTTGAGGAGCTCTTCATCTCCCGAGCCTCAGGACTTGGTGCCCTTAGGCTGAGTAGAGGACCCTAGAG